GTCTGTCTATGAAGCCTCTAACATACTGAGATGGATGTTGGGACAGACCCCACAACATCCTAATAAACTAAACTAGAAAGCAATGAAATGGATCCTCCAGAAAGCAAGGAGGCTCACCAACAGACTCTAGACTGCTCACTGGATCAACAATGTGTCGGTATGCCGATCCTAGTTACCTGTGTCTGCATCATAATACGATGCAGGCCAACTGGCATCAGTACATTGAATGTACAAGTATGCGAGTTGGAATGCTAAAATAACAAAGGCTAGAAAGAATCTGAAGAACTTACCTGGCTCAACTCAACTCAACATGACTGAACTCATTTCAATATAAAGAAGTTTAAAAGCAAGTGCAATATAAAGAAAAGTTGTTTCAAAACATGATATCAACTCTGTGTGTATGCAAGATACAAATAACTCTGAGATGTATTTAAAATACAATAAACTGATGTATATAAAAAAATACAATAACTTCTGTGGGAGTTTCTCTAACCGACAACCATCACTTAAGAGCTATAGTGATGATACATCGATCTTCCTTACGCTGCCAACGCATCCTATACCTGGCCAAAGGTATAGGACCTGAACTGCCTAATGGATCCACTAGTCTATTTCGAAAAGGATTCATCTAAAAAGTATGACCCTTTTCTATCTATGATGGCTACATGGTTTAAGGGGGCTGATAGTTGTATGAAATCTTCCCCATCGGTGCTCAATACTACCCTCAAATATATACTAGCTCTTTATGTTTAAAAACATACTTCTTCTGTGATTTTGAGATTAGTGCTCAAAAAGTTAGCTCAAAGGCTATCTTGGATAATCTTTGTTTCCTTGCTTGCTTCATTTAGAAAGTTATTACTCTTTTCTGAAAACTAGCCAAAGGCTCTTTGGAAATCTCAGTTTCCGTTCTTATTTAAATGTGAAAAACATTTAAAATATCTTTGGGAATACTTAGACCCCTTATACTTTTGAAGAAATAAACTTCAAACTTTACCTTTTACTCTTTGCTTAACTTCAAACTTAAGTCTTAAAACAAGTTAAAACGTTTGCAAAAGACTTATGAAAACTTGAAATGAACTTCTCTTACTTGACTTTTAACTTTGATCTTAACTCTTGCTTGAATTGACTCTTAACTGATCCTTGAATTGAATTATGGATTCAAGGATTATGATTTGTGTTTGGAAAGATCTCTTGATGTTTAGGAATGATTTCGAATAGCTAAACTTGAGAAAAGTTATGAAATCACCGTCTTGGAACATGTCCGCAACGCGGAGGTACTTTAAATAATTACTCGCAAAATTAAATTTTGAGACAGAGGAGTACTCGTCCTCTCCTCGACGCAGAGCAGATTTTTGTTCACTGTGGGAACAAGTCCGCGACGCAGACTTGTTTCATGAACCGTACTCGACTTTCTCCTTCTTCGTTTTTCAGCCTCAACCCACCTAAATTCGATCATCTTCCTCAAATTCGTTTTAGATTTCGATACCCAGCGTATGTACTCAACAACCTAACTCAAAATAACTCTAAAACACAACGTAAAGATCTCAGAAACTCCCCAATTCAGCCCAATTCAAGAACAACATTCAAATTCAAGAATTCATGTCAAGAACATCAACTTTCAATCTCTTTTAGGATGAATTGCGCTGAAACTAAACATGTTTGGCGCGTGGGTGAATGAACCCAACGCTATGAGAGACTCACATACCTTGTAGGATCAATTCCTTGGCGAATCTTGCTTTTCCTCTTCTCATTTCTCTTGCGTTCTTTCTCCAAAAGCCCTAACTCTATTTCTCAAAAGCGTAAACTGAACTAACTCAGTCTTGACCCCACTTAATTTACTAAAAATGGATTTAGTTTATTGGGTAAGGAAAGACCAAACTACCCCTTTTTAAATTCCGGATTGGGCATTTCTTTATTCGAACAACCCAACTTCCAACGAACATAATTCACTCATACAAACTTGGAATCATGCAAACTCAACGGCATTGGAAAGATAAATCCAAGAGCTTTCTAACCATATCTGAAACTACACCTAACTCTTCCTGAGCTAGGAGTTATGGTCGATTGAAGTTGACCAAAATCTCAACTTTACATTACTTAAAAATTTCCAGATTTCCTTGTACTTTCCAAAAATGATTATTTCAAGTTCTTAGCTACTTTCTAGCTATTTCAAGTTGCAAGATGTTACACCATCAATGTCTATGCAATATGACTTTCCGAGTCATTGATGATCATATTACAATATGATTTTGATATATTTTTTTGAAAGAGTTTTCATGTATGAATTGTGTAGGAATATAAGGGAACTAAGCATTCCCCAAAGTTATCCATTTACACATTGATAAAAGAGAAACTTTGATTTCTAAATGAGTTATGAGTTCAAAAGATATTTCAAGAGCAGTCACCTCTTTTAAGAGGATAGTTTGAGCAATTATTTCAAACCAGAGGAAGAGTATGAATTTAAACATTGAGCATGAGTATATATATTATTGGTAGTAGTATTGAACATCGATATGGGGATGAGTTCAGAAAACTCACATTCCTCATAAACCATGTATGCCAACATGGGTACAAAATCATACTTTTTAGATGAATCCTAAGTGCCTTCGGCAGAGCTTAGTGGATCCACTTAGTTGAGGAGTTCTATAACCCGACAAGGTATAAGACAATTCTGGTAGCGTGGGCGAGACATTGTATCATCACGTAGCTCATAGTGATTGTTGTCAGTTAGAGAATCTCCCAAATAAGAATAAATAGTATTTTATTATATTTTTATACAACATTGAGTTTTATCTCTTGTTTATAATGTTTTAAATACTGCATCTTTCATGATTGCTTTGTAATGAGTTAAGTTGAGGTGAGTATTTCTTCCAGCCTTGTCAATTCAGTTAATTATTGCTTTTAGTCATTCAAGCCAAATAATTGTTTACTCTAACCTTATCACATACTCGTACATTCAATGTACTAATGTCATCCGACCTGCCTCATTTTATGATGAAGATACAAGTGTTCAGGAACATCAACAGGTGTTTCGTTGAGGTCATGTGACATTCCATTCAGCTTTGGTGAGCCTTCTCATATTTCGGAGGACTTCACCTTCACGTTACAGTTATTAGTTTAGAGATGTCGTGGGTCTTACCCAGATAGCCTTCTGTAATAGTAGGCTTCATAAATAGACAAAATTGAGGAGTTTTTTCAGTATTTACCTTCTTTTAAGTCGTTTTACAAACTATGAATATATCTATTGAGTATTGTTCAGACTTTTTTTTAAAAGTTAAGTATTTGAGTTCAATGAGTTTAATTCAGTTTTAAGCTTATGTATGCTTGAGTTAGTCTTCCGCTTGTAGTCAGCCAGAATGAGAGTTCGCTTGGGGACCAACAATGGTTCTCGAGTGCCGGCCATGTCCAGGTGCTAAATTAAGTTTATATATTGATTTATTTTCATACCTATTCTATTATATCATGTCAAGGTGCTAAATGCAAACATTCTCTAATATAAATTTTATAATATCATTTTATAGTAGGTTGAATTTTGAAATTGTCATTAAGTCTGTATTTGTAATTACATTATGAACTGACCCGCAATGCGCAGGTACATATACTAGTATATATTTAAAGAGAGAAAGAAAAACAAAAATAAGTTTTAAAAAATTCCTCTCCGTTTTAAAAAGAATGTAGCTTACTATGATTTAAAATAATATAACATTAAAATTCTTTTTTTTTTTTACCTTTAATGAAATAATTTACAACCACACAAATATTTTCAAAAATCTTTTTTTTGATTGTTGTTAAACATCATGCCAAGTCAAATGATAGTGAATTAATTAATTTCTATGATCTTCAAGTTGATGAGTTTCAACCTAACTGATCAAGATGTATGTGAGGGTAATATTACAAGTTGTAACTCTCATCTCCTCTTTAATAGTATTATTTAGCCATGGAACATTTTTTTAATTTCTTTTTTAATCATTTATATAGGTTGGAGTGGGGTAAGGTAAGGTAAGGTAGGGGTGGTGTAAATAAAGTAGCACTATAAAAAGGGATATTGAATAGAAAAAAGTATTATCAAATCATCATATCATCATGTCTTCAAAAATGTGTGTTGTTTTCCTCATTGTTCTGCTTTCAATCATCACCACCAGTCCTTTAGCTCATGCTCAACTTATAGGAACCATTCTTGGTGGTCTACCACCCATTGTTCGTCCCATTCTTGGTCCCATTCTTGGCCAACCCGCACCACCCGTTGGTCAATTAGTACCACCTGTTGGCCAAGTACCACCCATTGTACCACCGATTGTACCACCCGTTGGTGGGCAAGTAGTTAATATAACTATAGTGGGGAGTTTGTCTTGCTCCGTACCGGGAAGTAATGCCCCAGGCCCCGGACTCGGTGGAGTAAATGTGACGATTATTTGTGGCAACACAACCATTGCTCAAGTGTCCACAAATAGTCAAGGCATTATTATTGCTGCAGTGACCACCACTACAAGTGTTTTGTCAGGAAATACATGTACTGCAAGGATTCCTCTCCCAATTGCTAATTGTACTTTGACTCCCAACACAGGAGCCCTTGTAGCTCCCGTCATCCTTGTTGGAAACTTTATTCAGGATTTGGCTGGTCTAACTTTCTCAGCAATTTTCGGGATACTTACTTCTCTAGCAACAGTCACTACTACTCCTTAATAATGCATAGAGTTAATAATTATTAGTATTAATTCTCACCTAAATAAATAGTATGACCTATGTATTACTCATGGACTGAGTATATATAAAAGGTCATCCATCTCTTTATGTATGATAACTATTATCTAATCTAATATAATAAATGGTGAGATGAGATAAGTTCATTCGTGCCTTTTAAGTTTTCAATTTTCCTATTACATGTCATGAAATGCATATATGCAACTAAAACTGCTCCCAACACCTACTAAATTCATATAAATAACACATGCAACTGTATATATATAATATAAAAGTACCAATATCCCAAATATCACTATTCACCTATATATAAGACTCTTCTACTTTAAGAAAAAATTGTCAAAAATCTAAATACTAAAGTTATAGGAGACGTATTTCCTCCGTCCAACAATATTTGTTCACTATACTATTTTGGGATGCTCAACAATATTTGTCAAATGGGCCCAACATTTTAGGCCAAGTAGTACTAATATTTTGCATCAGCAATGGTGTTGTCATTCGGTTAGGACTTGACTTTTAGTTCCTTGTTTGTTTGCTATAATAAATGTTTAAAATCACAGAGACAACATAAAAGCATAGGCATTCTTTTTAACATAAGACAACAATCTGCAAAATTACACATGCCCAACTCTTCCCATAAAATTTGTTGCAACCATAGCTTCATGAGGATACTTCATAGGTAAGAACAAGTAACCCCATCACCACCATTTGTATACATCTAAGTGAGAATGAACTTTGAAATTCACACAAATAAAAGGAGCACAAACAATGTGTTTGTCTACATTTTGCCCCTAGAAAAATGAATACATTTATCATTTGTGTCTATCATCCATCATCCAAACCTGAAACATCAAACCTATTAGCCTGAATAACTTCATCAGTAGTACTTCAAAAGTGTTATTCCAAAAACAAATAAAAGACAAATTTTTAAAAAAGAAAACTTTAAATTGCCAAACTACCTAGGCATAGGTAGATGTTTTTATGTTTTTTTTTCCAATGATTTTATTGGAACTTATTCATGTTAAGTATTTTCAAGACAGTGTTTCAAAACATTAATTTAAATGATTTAAATGCTCATCTTTTAAGACTTTCACATATTAGATTGAGTCTTATGTCTATAGTTAGCCAGATCAATGGGTTCGTTTGGGGACCAACAATGGTTTTTGAGTGCTGACCACAGCCAGGTTATATAGGCTCGCTTGGGGACCAACAATTGTTCACCTTAATTAGAGATTACCTGTACATATCTCTAATTAAGGTCTTCACATTTACCCCTAAAATAGCCTTGCCAAACTTAGCTTTGAGGACCACCACTAATAAATTTATTTTTCTAACGCCATATATACTAGCTTGATTTCTTGATCAGAAGCTTGAAGGTGAAGAACCCTTGTTCTTTCTTGAGAGGAACTTGCAGCTAGCGTAAGAGATAAATTTGTCTAAGGATTGTACGTGAATGAGAAGGTTTACTCAATTAAATTTCCTTTAATCCAACTTCGAATAGGTTAAAAATGATATAGTATATAGGGATTAAAAGAGAGGGAAAAAACCAAAGAAAAACTGTGTTCTGAAGGTTCCACAATACCATCTACAATATAATTTGTGGATTGATGATCTACCAGACTTCTCGTTGAAATCAGGCCCAAATTAAGAGTTTCTGAAGTTTGATTCACGAAAATCATTTATGATATGTGATTCCATCTACGGACCGTGAAAAAGTCCTCATCAAAATCAAGCTCAAATTCAGAGTTTCTGAGGTTTGATTCACGAGAATCATTTACGATCCGTGATTCCATCTGCGGATCCTAAAAAATGCTCGTAAGCATCAGGCTAAAAACTGAGTTTTAGGACTTTAATCTACAGACTAAATTATGATCCATGAAAAGTTCTACCACTTGTAAACATAGCCCGTTTTCTGAACTTTGATCTACGAGTAGCATCTACCATCCGTAGTTTGAACTCCCATGATTTGATCCGGACCTTAGGTCTATTGGGGTGTTACAATATTATATCTAGTTTTTAATTTAATCTAATATGAAAAGAGCGCATTTATCGTGTCATTATATTCCAAGTGAGAAAAAGAACATTATGTGAGTTTTGTGACTAACATAGTACCTTGATATACTACCCTTCTTGACACATGGTCTTGTACTTTGTGACTGACATAATACTTTTTTTTAAAATTTATTTTAAGTTATTTTTAACATTGTCAAATACCTTTTAACTTATTTTTTAAATTATTTTTGATTTATTTTAAGTTATTTTTATATTTGTCAAATACTTTTAGAAGTCTAAAACTGACTCAAAAATAGATTTGACCAACTTTTAAGCAATCCAAACACCCTCTAATTCCATGTCATAGGATTGTGTGAGAGTATTTATGATTTTTAATAATTTAAAAATAAATAAATTAAATAATGCTAAAAATAATAATTATCAAATTTAGACAATGAACTAATTAAGTTCATATATTGATTTATTTTCATACTTATTATATTATAACATATCAAGGTGCTAAATGCTAATATTCTCGAAGAAAAATTTTATAATATCATTTTTATAGTAGGTTGAATTTTGAAATTGTCATTAAGTCAGTATTTACAATTACATTATAAATTGACCCGCAACGTGCAGGTACGTATACTAGTATATATTTAAAGAGAGAAAGAAAAAAAAAAGTTTTAAAAAATTCCTCTTCGTTTAAAAAATAATGTACTTTACTATAATTAAAAACAATATAACATTAAAATTCTTTGTTTTTTCTACCTTTGATGAAATGATTTACAATCACATAATTATTTTCAAAAATCTTTTTTGTTGTTTTTAAACATCATGACAAGTCAAATGATATCTAGTGAATGAATTAATTTCTATGGTCCCAATGATCTTCAAGTTGATGAGTTTCAACATAACTGATGAGGATATATGTGAGGGAGATATTAGAAGTTGTAAGTCTTTAATAATATTATTTAGGCATGGAACATAATATATTTACATATAATACATTTTTTAATCATTTATATAGGTTGGGGGTGGGGGTTAAGTTAAGGTAGGGGTGGAGTAAATGAAAAGCAGCACTATAAAAAGGTGATATTGAATAGAAAAAAGTATTATCAAATCATCATCATCATCATCATGTGTTCAAAAATGTGTGTTGTTTTCCTCATTATTCTGCTTTCCATCATCACCACCAGTCCTCAAGCCCATGCTCAATTACAATTACCCATTGTTGGTCCCATTGTTCGTCCCATTTTGGGTCCCATTCTTGGTCCCATTCTTGGCCAATCCCCACCACCCATTGTACCACCCGTTGGTGTTGGTCAATTACCCATTGTTGGTCCCATTCTTGGTCCCGTTGTCGGTCCCGTTCTTGGTCCCGTTGTCGGTCCGGTTCTTGGTCCCGTTCTTGGTCCCATTCTTGGCCAACCCATTAGACCACCCGTTGGTCAAGTACCACCCATTGTACCACCCGTTGCCCAAGTACCACCGATTGTACCACCCGTTGGTGGGCAAGTAGTTAATATAACTATAGTGGGGAGTTTGTCTTGCTCCGTACCGGGAAGTAATGCCCCAGGCCCCGGACTCGGTGGAGTAAATGTGACGATTATTTGTGGCAACACAACCATTGCTCAAGTGTCCACAAATAGTCAAGGCATTATTATTGCTGCAGTGACCACCACTACAAGTGTTTTGTCAGGAAATACATGTACTGCAAGGATTCCTCTCCCAATTGCTAATTGTACTTTGACTCCCAACACAGGAGCCCTTGTAGCTCCCGTCATCCTTGTTGGAAACTTTATTCAGGATTTGGCTGGTCTAACTTTCTCAGCAATTTTCGGGATACTTACTTCTCTAGCAACAGTCACTACTACTCCTTAATAAATATTATTAATTCTCACCTAAATAAGTAGTATGACCTATTACTATTTACTCATGGAGTGACTATATATAAAAGGTCATCCATCTCTTTATGTATGTTAACTATTATCTAATATATAATAAATAAATGGTGAGACGAGATAATATATATAACTACTAGTGTCTACTACTACTTCTTTTATTTTCATTTAACATCATATTCATTTGTGCCTTTTAATTTTCAATTTTCCTATATTATGCCATGAAATGCATATATGCAAGAAAAACTGTAACTGTATATATAATACATAAACCAATATCCCAAAATATCACTATTCACTTATATATAAGACTCTTCTACTTTAACAAAAAAAGGTCAAAAATCTAATTACTAAAATTGTATGAGACGTATCCCTCCGTTCAACATTAATAGTTGTTCATTATGCTATTTTGAGATGTTCAACAATATTTGTCTACTTTATAAAATTAACGGATAATTTTGCACTTAGTTCATAATTTACCCTTATCATTAATTATACTCATTTTTCTATTACATTGTTGCATAAATGCTAGCAATTAAAGTTTCATATCTACACCTTATTATTATTTGTAAGCAGTGCTACATTATTTCTCTTAAGTAGTCATAATTTAAATATGAGACCATTGATTGCGCACTCGGGTCAATTATGATGCCACTTATGATGGGTTAGGATCGTGACATTTTCATATTAGATTGATATAAAAAAGTTTATATGATATGACATTTCTTGATATTTTACTTCAAGTATCCACAGAAAGTGGGGTGCACTAGTTAATTTTACAAAGGTATTCACCATTTATTACAACATTAATATTATTTTAATTTTTATTATCTTATTTAATGGCCCAATAATTGAATGAAAAGATATTCTATCACCTTTAAATTAGTTTACATGTAAGTATTTACTTCTTCAAATTAACGGAGCATTAGACAACTAGTACTTTTATATATATCTCTCCATATTTTTTGATTTTTTTTTTTTTTTGATAAACAAGATGATATATCATAATTTAATATGCATTAGTACAAGTAAATGGCTGAGTATGGCTAGTAACATTCGGAAAAGGGATTGGGATTACATTATACACATTAATACCTTCTATAGTAGAAGACGATTTTTTTAGCCTAACATAAAGAATTCCTACTTTATCTGCTTCTATTCTACTAGAAACAATCAACGGAGGAGCTGTCCAAAGTACGAGGGAGTCAACTTCCTTCAATCTAGACCCCTCCTTAGCCAAGGTATCTGCCACTTGATTTTCTTCCCTGTATTTATGCTGCACCGGAGGGTTTCCAAGTTTAAGTAGAAGTTCCCTGCAATCAGCCAAAATATTAGAGTAGAATGGAAGATCATTTGCTAGACAGTGAAGGATATCCTGACAATCTACATTAATTTCAAGTGGTGTTAATTAAGTTGTAGGTTAGTGCAATAGTTAAGCCTTTTTACAGTGCTAATAGTTCAGAAACAATATTTGTTGCTTCATATATGTTTCCCATGAAGCCTACCACCCAATTACCATATATTGTGTTAATGCTTAATTGCAAAATTAAGGTGATCTTTTCATATCAGATTAACATAAAAATTAATCAAATACATTTCTTGGTATTTTACTTTCTCAAAAAGTATCAAGAGAAACTGGGGTGCATGAGTTAATTTTACAAAGTTTTCACCATTCATTATAACAGTAATATTATTAAAAATAATGATTTATCTTATTTAATGGCTCAGATAGTTGAATGAAAATAGATTTTAACACCTTAAGATTAGTTTTAATTAATATAGGGAAAAGGGTTCGAAATATATTTGAACTTTAACCGAAATTGATGTAACAATCTCAAACTTTGGGCAGGATCTATTACCCCCTGCACTATTTAATAGTGTTTTAAAAGACATATAGGTGTCTACGTGGACATCATAAATATTGTATCATTATAAATAGTAACTTATCAAGCTGGACACTTATATATTTTTAAAATACACTATTCAATAGTGCAGGGGGTAGGGATGACAATGGGGCAGTTGTCACGACCCAGACCATCGTGATTGACACCCACACTAAAACTTCGGTGGGAGAACCACTACTACAATCGAAACCAAGCAACTAAAGCAATAACTAAGGCATTTAAGTCAAATACTAAGGAAAGAAAAATAGAGTTCACATAAACTCTAACAAAAGTCTAACAATAATAAACTAACAATATAATGCGGAAGAATAACCTAGAACCTGAAAGTCAATGTACCAATACATCTAACAATGAACCAAGTGTTGACACCCAATTTTGACCCTTCCCGGGAAGAATTAATTTTCGAGCTTCTTTAATTTTGAACGATTTGAAATAATTAATTTGATAAAAAGTTTAAATATTGTTCAAGTCATTTTTAGGTAATTTTAGTCCTTTTTATAATTATTAAATAATAAATATGTTTTTATATAATTAGTATATTTTATAATATTCAAAAATCGTCTCAAAAGATTTTATTTTAATTAAATAATCAGTTAATTAGTTTAGTTATATAATACTCTATATTTTAAGTTATTTAGTTTATAATTAAGTTAATTATCTTATATCATTAAAATTAAGAAGCTTGTTAACTAATTAACATCAATTCGTCTTATTTAATTACTAGCCGAATCTATCCTAATTAAGTTCAAATCGGCTAAGATTTTTATAATACAATGATAACCATTTTTTTCATCAAATCTTTAGACTTATATTTTTGGGCCATTTTTAGGCCAATATTCCCATTCCATCAGCAACCCAAAACTCCAAATTCAGCCCACCCAATTCAATAATTCCTTAACCCAAGCCTAACCAATACAATACAATAGCATTAAATACCAAAAAAACAACATAACAACGTATAAACAGTAGCCGCCTAAACCTGCCAACGTCTTCTTCTTCGCTGCAAATCGAAGCCCAGAAACGCTCCAATCGTGAGCCTAGTAGCCGCGAATTCAGTCCAGAACTCGACCCGAGTCCAAAACTCGAATCCATGTGGAGCAATCTCGCTCTCCCTTCGTCCTTTCTCCTCGAATCGGACGGCTATCTTCATTCTTCCGTTGGAGATTTGTACCAACTCGAGCTGGCACCTTATCTCTTAAAGATTTGAAATTCGAATTTTCAAATGGGATTTCATCGATTTCCACTCTAGATCCCCCCCCCCCTTTCAACCCTAAATTCCTTCTATATATACCTCCTCTTTCTCCATTATTGGGGGTTGGATTTTGGAGAGTTAAAAAAAATAAAATTAGGAAGACGTTGGCGAAACAGGGAGAAAAGTTGGAGAAAATATTGGAGAAAATAGACGTTGGGGGATAGCTGATTTGGGGTTGGAAAAATATAGGAAAAAGGTTAGGAAAAATCGAGGGAAAGGTTGGGAGAGAAAATAGAGTAAGAAAAGAGTTGGAAACATAGCCTATATATGGAGAAGCAACGTTTATATACATAGAGAATACACATGAAATAGGATTTTGAGGGTTGGCTCTTTGAGTTTTCTATCTCGTTTACTGTCTATGAGAGTCCGTCGGAGCCTCTCTTGTGGTCTTGGAAAGTACTCCTCTAGCTCGTCGTCTTGATTCGGTGCCTCGAAAAAGGTATACTTCTTCACTTTCTTTATTAGTTCTCTTGCGTGTTTTAGCTTCAACCTACTGTTTAGAGTAGCCAATTTTGCCTAATGTTTCTTTGTTTTATTTAAATTTCAACTTTCCAATCTTAGTATAATTGAGTTTTTATTTTGATGATCATAAGCTTTTCCTTTGCGCGCTTTGACCTGAATGTGATTTGGATATATGTATGTGAAGTGTTGAGATGTTGTTTGGTTTAGCTTTTCATTAGTGTGATAAGAATGTGACCATAGCTTGGGTTGTCCGCCTTTGTGTTCTTTTTATTGTGATGGATCCTTGTTAATGATAGTTCAAACTTGCTTAATATGTGTATCTAATCTTTGTTCCCATTTAGTCTGAATGATATCCATGTCTATTTTTGTTTTAACTCGTGAGATTATGATCATATCTTATCATAAGTTTGTCGATAACTTGATTTATACCCTTGTTGCAAGGCTTTCTTATTCCTTTTTGGACCTCTGCCTATGTATGAGTGAGTCGAAAAAAGATGTGGTTCATATCTTAAATTAGTTTAGTATTGTATCTATTAAGATTAGTCAAACCCATTGTTTTACACACTCTTTTTTACTAGCCTCTTATTCATGTCGGAATTAGAGATTCTTTTAATTGGTAATTAGGATATAGTCTCGCAAGATCGGACTAACGAAGCTAGCCTAGAATAACTTGGCTTGCTCTTGTTAGTATTGTACTTGATTCATGTAAAAGTTTTCTGAATGAAGTTTTTTTTTAGGTATTAGCTTCACTTCTTTAGAGCATTCGTGTGAATTCATACTATTGCGAGATTTTTCTTACCAACCAATGCATAAATGTTTTCTTGCTGCTTTTATTTTAACTTTGGATGGGTCGGTTACTTTCTCATATTCTAGTGTTAATCTTGGACTCAATAGCAGTGATCAGTGTTGTTTTCTTTTTTTTTAATCTTGTCTTTACCATTAATAAATTCTTCACTCATCTAATATTTTAATTATATTTGAATGTGGCTTTTTTTTTTGCGTCAAATTTGAATGATCTACTTAGCTTGTCTAATACTTAGTTCAAAATTGTAGTCTGTATATGCCTCTCATTCAAAATGTTAGAATTTATTTTCAAATAGTCATGTTGATTCATTCTTTGTTTATTCTTCCTCAAGTTTATTATCAAGTTGGTATAATTAGTTTTCTGTCAGTGAACCCTTTGTCTTATTTGAGTTAGAATGCCTTAATTATAGGGAAGTATGAATTTGGCAAGTAGTTGGATCCTCTCCATTGTTTAAAATTTGTGCAAAACCCTTGTTATATCCTTCATTTTATTCCAAGTGATCTGGATAACTACTGATTTTTTTTCTCTTCTTTGAATACATGTGACATTGATTCGAGTCTATTTGGACTCCACCCTTGCATATCATTGAGTCGTTTCGAGTCGACCTTCATCTTTGTTCGAGTTTCGGAAGCTGATATACAGGTCTCGAAGCGGAAAGAAGGGGCTATA